GGGACATATATTGGGAACCTCTTGATCAAATGGCCTAAATTTGCACCTCAGTCCTTGAATAGATTTTTAATTATTGCTTCCCCAAAAGGGAAATGGGTGGTGGAAATTATCCACGATTGACCCCGAGAGAATAATATCAGCATCAGAGCCATAGTTTGAGCCCCATGTATGTGTAAAAAAAAAAAAAAAAATGTTCTAAGAAGTGTAAAATTTGGATGTTACATTATTTTTTCAGTCAGACTGTATCTCACTTAAACGACCACAAAAATCTTGATTACTAAACCAACCCTGTGGCTATTTTCAAGACAAGGCTTTTTTGAGGGCCTCTTTCCCCTAATCAGCTTTCTCTTACCCTAACCTATTCTGTTGTGCTCCCAGCTCTCTGTTCTATATGTACATGCAACAGTGGAGAGGGACAAATTTTCACACCCAGATCCAGTCTTTCAGCCCCACCTAGTCGGCAGTTACCCTGACTTGGGGGAATTAGGAATGTAAAGGATCATTTCATTTTTAAGGGTCATTCGTAAAGGGGCAATAATTGAGACTGTGCCTTTGTTTGATTTTCTTCTGATGTGTAAAGAAGGCATGACGATTTGGGGGCCTAGGTGTTTTTTGTTTGTTTATATGTTTGTTTGTTTTGGGGAGGGAAGATACATTTATGTTGCCTCCTTTTATATTAAAAAATCCAGGTCCTGTCTAGCCTGGGGCTCATGCTTTGGCTTTGTCTAGACTAGACTTGGTTGTCCTCTTATAATTTGAGCTAATTGATCATAAATGCTAATTATGTTAACTGAGGCTCTCCAGAAATGTTTGTTCTGGAGCGCACAATTTTGTGGTTTGCCTGAGGCTGAGCCCCGATGTCCTGATACTCTGCACATGTTTGCGTCTAGATTAGCATTTACAGTCACGTAACAAGCAATTGGCAATCAGTTAAACAGGAGGACAAATGCTAGTCCAGACAAAGCCTATGATACCAGGAGAACTAGTGAAATGATGACATCACAAGGGTCAAGAGACAGAAAACTGAGCAATGGAGAGGGGAAGGGATTTTAAATCAAACATCGAAAAACTCTGTTTTGTCTGATTTTGTCAACGCCTATTTAACTTTATCCAAAATACTCATTTGGCACTGAAAGATGCATGGGTGCAAGGGAGGGATGAGAGAGACAAATTTGCCCCCGGATTTTTACTATCCTGGGGGGCCAGGACAGCCTCCCTTCACTCCCACCCTCAAATGGCACCCCTGAGGACAGACACTTCCCCACCCAGGCAGAGCAGAGCAGCTCAGCTCAGCACTGGCAGAAATGGGGGAAGGCAGTGGCAGGTACGCCACATGCCAGCCTACCCCCCAAACTGTGCCCATGGTGGACTCCCCCCCCCCCCGCCCCACAGTGGGCCCCTCCCACCCCCAGCCAGGCTCCCTCTGCCTGAACTCACCTAGTGGAGCCAGCTGGGAGCTGGAACTTGCCCAGGAGATCTACGTAGGAGGCGGGGCGACCCAGATGAGCAGGGTCTCACCGCTGCTGATCAGGCTGGGCTTCTGCAGACCAGAGGGAGCCCTGCGCTCCCCACCCTCGTCCACCCCTAACCCTGGCTGGAGAAGCTCCCTGAGACTGCTGGAGGAGGGGCCCCACCCTCTACTGAGGGCTGAAGTAGGACTGGGTCAGCCTCTGCTGCAGCCAGCCCAGGGGTTGCAGAACAGCTGATAGGCAGGGGAGCCTGCCAAACAGCTGATTAGTGCAGCAGCCTACCAGCTGATCGGGGGAGACGGGGCTGCTCAGGAACTGCTGATCCATGGCTGGGGCTGCAGCACCACTATTGCCGGTGGGTGCTAAGCACCCACTAATTTTTTTCCATGGGTACTCCACCCCTGGAGCACCCACGGAGTCGGCACCCCTGCCAGACCACATAAGTGAACATGGCCATGTGTCCCAGGAGCTTGAGGCAAACCCAGTTTGTTGTGATTGGGTGGGCCCTGACCTTGGATATCGATTCCAACACTCTCTGGAATTGAGCCTCTGGAAGGAAGGCTCTGGTCTGGGTTGAGTTGAGCACTGCCCCATATCAACTGTATTCTCTATACTGGAATGAGAGTCGGCTTTTGTTTGTTTATCAACAGGCCAAGTGCTCAGCCTATGTATCTCAAACCAGCAAACCAGCTGTTCTTTATTTGGGCCTCTGAGCGACCTTTGATCAGCCAGTCCCGAGATACTGACTTGAATGTCTCGCCTTCTGAGGAAGGCTGCTACCACCACCATACTTTTCATAAAAACCCAGGGGGCTGCGGACAGGCCAAAAGGGAGAATGGTGAATTGGTAATGAGTTTGGTTTACTATAAACTTCAGGAATCTTCTGAGGACATGGAAGAAGGAAATGTGAAAGTAAGCGTCTTTTAAGTCGAGGGGAGCATACCAGTCCCCTGAATACAAGAAGGGGATGATGGAGGCAGGCAGACCATGTGGAACCTCAGTTTCTTGAGATAATTGTTGAGGCGACGCAGGTCCAGGATGGGACGAAGGCCCCTTTGGCCTTTGGGATTAAGAAATATTGGGAGTAAAACCCTTTCCCTTTCAATTTTTGAGGTACCTCTTCCACAGCCCTCACCCGTAGGAGGGTCTGCACCTCCTGGGCTAGGAGTTGCTTGTGAGAAGGGTCCCTGAAGAGGGACAGGATAGGGGGCGGGAAGGAACGGTGGATGAAAACTGAAGAGTATAACCATACACCAATGTATTTAGCACCCACTGGTCTGATGTGATGCGGGACCACGCCGGGCTGAAGATGAAAAGTCAGTGCAAAAACAAAGGGTAGGAAGGATCCGAAGCGGGAACTGGTATAGCGCCCTCGGGCACACCTTCAAAAGGCCTGCTTGGGTCCACTGGAGTACTTATGCAACCTTGGTATTGAGTGGATGAAAGCAGTTGATGGCACTTGTAACCTCTGTTCCTTCATTTGAACAAGTCCTGTGTCTTGGTGGTGGAACGAAAAAGTGGGCTGGCTGTTGAGGCCTGAAGTGCTTCCTTGAAGTAGACGGAGCATAGAGGCCCTGGGACCTGAGGGTAGCCCTTGAGTCGTTCAGGCCATGGAGCTTTGTGTCCATTTGCTCCAAAAAAAACAAGGAGCCTTCGAAAAGGAGGTCCTGAATCGACTGCTGGACCTCCTGTGGTAGCCTCGAGGACTGCAGCCAAGAGCGTCGCCTCATGGCCATTGCAGAGGCCATTGTCCCAGCCGCCAGTGGTTGTCCCATCAGAGTCAGCGGTACTGGGAACGATAAGTCCCTGGCCGCTGCAAAGGCCTCCTGGGTTGAAGGTACTGTGATTCTGCTGGTGCCACAATGACTTCTTCTGTCGGTGGGGAGTCCTGTACTAGACTCAACCTTCTGCGCGGAGTTGATGGTTCTGCCATGGAACCGGGGGTGGAGGAGTGGCCCGACCTGGGTCGCACTCCACTGCCTTCCCCTTGCTTGCCTTTCTTTGGCATTGGCAAATGCCCTCTCTTGGAGCACTGCTTTTTATGTTTCTTCCTTGGCACTGGAGATGGAGAATGTTGCCGGGATACACGCAGCACCAAGGCCAAAGTGGTTAGTGCCGAATCTGAGCAGCTTGGCTCCGAAGCCGGTCTTAGAGTGGCTTCCATTAGGATAGTCCTCAGTCTAGCCTGTCTTTCTTCATACAAGGCTTAAAGTTCTGACAAATCTCTTATCTGAGCCTCTCCCAGACACTTCAGACAACTGGAGTGTGGGTTTCTCACAGGCATAGGCTTGCCACAGGATGCACAAGGTTTGAAGCCCAAGGACAGGGGCATGCCCGGGGCGAAGGGAGCCCCTCAACGATAAAGGAGCGGTTCTAACTATCTACATTAATATTATTTACACTACAACTATACTAAGACTAATAAACAAGGATACAGAGAAGAAACCATTGAAAAATGCCTTGCCGAAGCAAGAGGAGTTGTTCCAGCAACCATCATGGGTGGTAAGAAGGAACTGGGAGGGTGTGGCACCAGAGGGCACTACAGCTGGCCCAACAGATACCACTGAGGGAAAAATCTAACGTGGAATGTACATGAGCAAGAACTCAAAAAAGAATCACCTGGCTACATGCAGAAACCAAATTAATACTCTTCAGCATCACCTGGGTACTGAATAGAACCCTATGTGGTTATGCTTCAATCCTGCCATTGGATCCACTGAACCCGCCCTGTGCTTGGGTGGTACCCTGTTGATTTCTAGACTCTTATTTTTTGTCTGTGATTTTACCTACAAAAAGTGGCAATTAGAAATCAACCCCCTTAAATAAAGCAGACAGACCCACAACATCATCACATGATTATGCTTAACTATGGAGACTTCTTTAATTTACTCCTGAGTGCATTTAGAGCTCATGATAGTGACACCCTATTAGCACTGGTTAAAGCCATGGGCCATTGCCATACAAGATTTCCCTGACAGAGCTGTATCAATGCACTTCAGTCCCAACCTGAATCACCCGCTATTAATTCCATGACCTGGGCTTCTCTTCAGCAAAGACATGGCAATCAAACTGTATGATGGTTTCATGATGGGGGCTAAGATGAAAACAATAAACTTGTGAGATGAGCTGCTGTCCAGGGTGAAAGGGCAGGATATCACTACACTTCCCCATCCAACCTTCTCAGCTACCTCTACTATTGACAACAGATCAAATGCTCATCTCAGCTGAACTGGTGCAACCCTACATATCAATGGGCGTGGCACTGCTGTAATGAAAATTTGGTCCAACATCTAATTGCTTTAGAAATATCAGCAGGGAGAATTATTCAAACACAACCTTGTGGTGCCGTATTTTCTAACTTTATACAATAAAAGCAACAATCACAGGCCACATTGCTAGCTGTGAGGGATGTTGTCCAACTCTTATAAACAGAGTAAAATATATTAAACATTTTATTATAAGTTAAAAATAAATAACACTCAAAAATAAATGTCCATATTCTGAAGCCAACTTGCCTTTCCACTCAATATTTAAAAATATAGATTTTTTTATGGGGGGAGGGGAGGTGGACCCATTAAAGAATTCCACATTTCCATCGGACAGTTCCAATTTTTTCATAGAAATTATAATTCTGATTGGGTGAAAAAAGTCGTGATTTCTGACAATTCTGTGATATCATGAATTTGAATAGTTACAAAAATGATTATCTTCTGAGTAAAACATTCAACTGAGGTTTTTCCTCAAAGGACTAGCAGCCCTAGACAGAGAATCATCACTTTCAGAGACAGCCATGTCCAGACATAATTCTCCATTTCCTTGGGGTCATTTTCAAGTCATTGTTGGAGACCTAAAAATGGCCACCAGTTCTCCCAGCTTTAACCCTGTAACGACTTTTGACTCTCTCTGCTGATCATTGTCACTATCGTCCTGGCTGAGGAGGACTTTATGGGGCATGCTTTAGAGACCATTAATAGTACTCCTTAAGTGGGTGAATGTTGACTAACAAGAGGCACTGCTCCATCCCTTGCCAGTGGATGAGAACTTTGCCTCTACAGCCCACCCAGCTTGGGAAGTGAGAGACCAGGACATCAAAGGTGCATCTCCCACTTACAGCACTAATGGCAGTGATATGCATCCAACCCAAACATAAATCTTGATTAAAACAGGGTTTTCACTCATTCTTCAGCATACCCTATAGAAATGAAGGGTCTCCAGCAACTTTGGTGATGCACAAATGTGCGCCCCAAATTTGCCCTCCTTAATTCTGAGTCACATCACAGCTCCTTCTGTGTCACTTCTGCCAATGGGCTTCCACTTCTCTTTCTTCTGCAAGGGGCACGAAGCTCCTTCCACTAGCTACGTCTGATCTTTCTCCTGGACTTCCTGCAATCGTTTCTCTAAGCGATCCAGTTTAGCCAGATTCTCCTTCAGCAGCTTGCTGTTTGGAACCAGCTGTAAAGCTTTCTTGTAATAGCTACGTGCATTGATGTAGTCTCCCTATAAAAGGGGGAAAAAGAGTCATTCATATTCTCTGACATTGAAACATCATTGCCTGAGACCGGCAAGCTCCATAATGGATGGAGAAAGCAATTTATAAAGTGTGTTTGACATGTTTTGAAACAGCAACACTCCACTCATTATTAAATTGGTCAACTGGTATTTCAGAAGAACTCACTCTGTGCCTAAATTAGATCAACAGGGACATGGCAAGAGGCAGATTTAAACAAGGCTATAATGTCCAAGTAGAAGATATGTATAATATGCGTTAAACTAATATCTTTAGGACATTCAGAATAATTATGCTACAGTAATCATCAAGTATGAAATCACGTGTCTTGTCACCATATTTCCATCAACTGATGTCAGTATTATGCATTAGACACTATCATCAAGTGGATTAGGTAAGGCGGAATTTAAAGGGCTGATTCTCGACTGCATAGACTGGGAATACTTATCCACCAGTTTCAAAACACACGTAGATTATGGGCTAAGCACAGCTTCGCTAATGAAGGCGCACCCCTTTCAAAAGACAGACTATGCTCCCAGCCTTTCCACCTCCAACGTTTTCCTGACCACTTCTTGAATTATCAACCTTTCTCTGAAGGGAGACAGCCCTTCAGGGTTCCATATTGCTGCTGCTTTTCCCTCTGATGTATTGCTCAGTCCAGGTGCCCCCCCCCCCCGGCCGCATGTCGTGTCTAGATTCACTGGATACTTGTGTGATGACAGCCATTTTGACCAACACGCTAGGGACTGAACTAGAGATTTCCAGAGTTAAAGGCACAAATCTCTACAACTTGAGTTAGAGCCAGGATCTCTAGCTGGGGCTGTAACAGACTCGCACCCTCTTTGGATCCAACTCAGCGGGCGACAAAAAAAGACACACTGAACACGCACTTCTTAGCTGCCTGAGGGCAAGTTCAGCAATGTATTCGAAGGACAGAAATAGTCCCTTTACTTGACAGCCTGCAGAAAAGCAAGAGATTTTCCTACCTTGATATGCTCAATCCCTCCCATGTTCATCCATGCCTGAGCTTGATCTGGATTCAGCTCCACAGCCACTTTATAGCTCTAAATAAATATGAAATGTCTTCAGGTTAAGATGCTTGTGTCCCTGACTAAAAGCCACATTAGGGAGGAAATGACTCCCCACACCAATCCCTTTAAAAGACTGTTGTCTTCTTTCTTGATTTTTCTTACATACAAAATGTGCGTTGTTTCAGAGTCTTAAGTGGAGACAAATGAAGCGACCATTTCCCCAAAAGGGCCTATTTGGGGGAATTTGCTTTGTCTGCAGAGTCCCGCAGGGAATCAAGGCAACTTCCAGGACAGTGCATTCTCTTCTGCTGATCCTGACCTGCAGGGATGCTCTGCGCTTCACAGCTACCTTCTGCACACAGTATTTACCTTATAAGAAAAGCATCTCCATAACTCCACATCAGCATGTATGTGCAGGGAGGGAGAGAACATTGGCAAGGTTTTAACATCTGAATGGCTGCAGTCTTTCTTACAACATGGATACCTGTGTGCAGATTTAACAAGGACTGTAGGTAGCTTCCCCCTTACCCCTTTATTTTGCTTCTACAAAGGTGGGGAAAAATCATTAAAAGAATTTCTGGACTCTGAGGATCACCTCTATTTTTGGGACATCATAACTGAGGAGGATTCAAAGAGCGTCTGGACATTTATATATATATATATATATATATAAGTATACTCAGAGTTCTAATTAATTATAACAGAGTATTTGGACAGGGTGTTAAACCTTATGATTCAGGACTTAAACTTATGATCTCGAATAGCTAGAGAGCTATCCCTGGTTCCATAAGTAATCTACCAAATTGGAGGGAGATTTTTTGTGTAGGAGTATTTCAAAAAGGAAAGGAGGGGGAGAGAACACTGTTATAACTTTAACTATGGAATTGATACTACCCTTCCATAATCCCAGCTGTCCTATATGGTAACCAGATGAGCTATATAAGTGAACAAGCACCATGTATGCTCTCTGCAGATTATTAATTACAGCTAGTGAGCTCAGTTCTTGAACTATAAACATAGCCATGTGCTTTAGAGCGGTTACTTGTTATACCTCAAAAGCCTTGTCAAGAAGGTTTTGTTCTCTTAGCTGATTTCCTTTAGTAAAAAAGAGCTCCGATATGACTTTTGGATCCTTTGGTTTTAGCTGCAGAGCTTTATCTATAGCTTCAAGGGCCTGCAGAAAGAGAGAGAGAGAGAGAGGGGACACTATATTCTATTCTATCCAGGTTCTTATGCTGTGCCCATCACTATGATATTGGAGCACATGAGCCACTGAGCAATACACAGCATCACCACCCTGCTCCCCAAATTTCTGTTTGCTCGTGGACCTTTACCACATTCAGAAACCTAAATTCTAGCACCTCACAGCCTGATTTTCCGAGATGCTGACCAGACCCCAGCAGCTGGAGTCAGTAGGAACTGAGTACTCAACACCTCTGGAAAAAAAAAAAAAAAAAAAATCAAGCCTTTGGCCTTCAATCCTATTTCCTAGACCAGTGTTTCTCAACAACCTGTCTGTGGATTGGCACCGGTCCATGAGATTTTCCTGACACAGTTTAGAAAGGCAGCAAGCCAGTCCCTGGGATCAAAAAGTTTAAGAAACACTGACCTAGCTGTACGGAAGCATCGTATAAAGCAATCCAGCTATTGTGCATACACAAACTGTATCAGTCATGATGTGGCTACACGCCCCTTGCTACACACGTCTCAGGACAGGATCTAGCCTTTGGCTGTACAGAGATTAAAATTCATCCCAAGACCTTTGATTGTGTGTGTGTGGGACAGCAGCACACGGAGTTCACGGTACCTTGCTGTAACGCTCCTGCTTGCTGTAGATTGCTGATAAAAGGCGGTAGCATTCTAGGCACTCGGCCTCTTCTGTCACAATATGGTTAGTCATTTTTTCAGCTTCCTTTGTTTGTCCCATCATTGCTAAAACCTGTGCCTAGAGATCAATGGTAAACAGAGTTTTCATCCCTTTTTATGACACTCCTCTCTCGTCACACACTGATGTCAAAAGAGCTGTGAAAACTTAGGCTAGCCTGCTTGGCTGGTAAGATCAGTCAATACAGTGGCCCAGCTAGCATGCACTACTAAGCCCGGGACCCAGCATCTAGTCCTGGCATCCTGCTTTCTGGCAAGGCAGGAGGTGGGAGTGCTAACAGGCAATGGTTCAGCAGCACCTGGAGGACAGAAGGAATGACTGGCTGGCTCTGGAGCAAGTCACTTCTGGTCCTCCTCAGCTAGAATGTGGGGCCTAACAGTGTGAGAAGAAAAAAGAGTTGGAGGCCAATTTTCTGGGCTTTGACACAGATAAGGAAGACCGCTTCCTGCCTCAGGACAAAATTAAAACCAAGACATGCTCAGTTGCCTGTTCTAGGGAAAGCTCACAGTAATTATCATCCACTTGGAAAGAGAGCCAGGCTGAGGCTGAACCCCCTTAAACCTCCACGCCTTGGATAATATTTCTAAATACTAACATACCCCTGCCACCAACGTTCTCGTCATACACTCACCAAGGCCAGTCGAATCTCCTTGTTTGAAGGCTGCAGTGCTGCGGCTTCCCTGTAAACCTGTAAAGCTTCTTCATACCGCCCCGTGTTGTAGTAGAGAGCTCCCAGTGGGGACAGAATTTCCGCCTTCCGCGATACTTTCAACGCTCTACATGTTGGGAAGAACGAAATGTCTTCAGGTGATGCTGAGATCAGAGCGTAAAACAAGAGTGGGATTGGCTGTGGGATTTGCCTTGGAAAGGTTAGTGCTCTGCACTGCCAGACCAGAGCCTGAGGGTTGGTCCCATTCTGACCTTTTGCTCCAAGCCAGCCCAGAAGGGAAGAGCGGTAGAGGCAGCATTCATAGTCCCTGATGGGAGGAGGGAGTGCCCCCAACAGCAATCCCGCTGGCCTGTTAATGAGCAGAAGGGACAGGCTCTGAAGGGAATGGAAATCTGCAGCTGTGGTGCTGGAACTAAGGGTGCTGCCAGAGCCCCTGGCTTGAAGTAGTGTTATCAAGCCAAATACATGGTTTCCGCCTTCAGCACCCATACTATAAAATTGTTCCAGTACCACTGGCTGTGGGATGAGGGTGGCAATGCAGGTAAGAAAAGGGAGGTGTTCCAACAAGGAGGCAAAAGAAAGTCCATCTCCTCTGACCCATTGGGAGGAAAATCTCCAAGAAGCTGTTTGTTCAGCACACAGTGCAGTGCTGTATTGCAGAGCAGGAGATTCCCTGAAGAGGGCCTGGATTCCTGGAGGTGTAGGATTGCCTGGCAGTGACATACTCTAATACACATGTGACAGTCCCTCCCTGGAATGCTTTTAGTGTCATGTGAACGGCATTAACGGATTACTGATAACAACCAGAAACCACTGAGCTCATAAACAGAACACCCCTGCAGCTGAAGGTAGCAGAGGTTGTCCTGGGGCTGGGCTCAAGAGGAGCATAGCAAGGCACTTGCTGAACAGTCCAGGCTGGCTGATCGTCAACTGAATTATAGGGCTCTGCGCACTCTCAAAAACCAGCCAGACACAGCAACAATGGTGAACATATTCACTCCCTCCAGCTGAGTGACAGAAGAACCCAACATTGCACTGGAAGATTAAAAGGCTAACCAATCTTCGTAAGGTCTTGTAACAAAGACTGGATGTGGGTGGAGACAAGTGAGGAGTTAGCCTCCCGTCCTGAATCACGGACTCAAAGGGTACATCTACACTGCGATAAAATACCCGTAGCACCAAGTCTTAGAGCCTGGGGTCAGCTGGCTTGGACATGCGGGGTTGGGGCTGCGGGACCAAAAATAGCAGTGTAGATGTTAGGGCTTTGCCGGGAGCCCAGGATCTGAGACCCTCCCCATTCACAGGGTCTCAGAGCCCGGGCTCCAGCCTGAGCTCAAACCTCTACACTGCAATTGTATAGCTCTGCAACCCAAGTCACTTGACTCGGGCCAGCTGCGGCCATGCAGCAGGTCTTTTATCACAGTGTAGATGTACCCATAGACTTTAAGGCCAGAAGAGGCCATCGTATTCAACTAGTCTGACCTCCTGCACATGACAGGCCACAGAACCTCACTCACCCACTCCTGTACTAGGTACCTAACCTTTGGCTGAGTTACTGACGACCTCAAATCTTGATTTAAAGACTTCAAGATGCAGAGCATCCACCATTTACTCTAGTTCAAACCAGAAAGTGACCCATGCCCCATGCTGCAGACGAAGGTGAAACCCCCCCAGGGTCTCTGCCAATCTGACCTGGGGAAAATTCCTTCCTGACCCCAAATATGGTGATCAGTTAGAACCTAAGCATGTGGGTGAGACCCACCACCAGACACCAGGGAAAGAATTCTCTGTAGTAACTCAGCCCTCCCCCTCTAGTGTTCCATCTCCCGCCATTGGAGACATTTGCTAATAGCTGTCATGGATGAGCCATATGCCATTTTAGGCAACCCCATCATATCATCCCCTCCATAAACTTATCAAGCTCAGTCTTAAAACAAGTTAGGTTTTTTGTCCCCACTGCTCCCCTTGGAAAGTTGCTCTAGAATTTCACTCACCTGATGGTTAAAAACCTTCATCTAATTTCAAGCCTAAACTTATTGATGGCCAATTTATATCCATTTGTACCTGGGCCAACAATGGCTCTTAATTTAAAGAACTCTCTCCCTTCCTAGTGTTTTTCCTTTGATGTTTATTTAGAGAGAGCAATCATATCTCCCCTCAGCCTTTGGTTGGTTAGGCTAAACAAGCTAAGCTCCTTAAGTCTCCTCTCATAAGGTAGGTTTTCCATTCCTCAGATCATCCTAGTAGCCCTTCTCTGCACCTGCTCCAGTTTGAACTCATCTTTCATAAACGTGGGAGACCAGAATTGCACCCAGTATTCCAGAGGAGGTCTCACCAGTGCCTTGTATTATGTAAATAACACTTCCCCGTCTCTACTGGAAATACCTCGCCTGATGCATCCTAGGACTGCATTAGCCTTTTTCATGGCCGCAGCTCATAGTCATCCGGTGATCGCGCAGTACACCTAGGTCTTTTTCCTCCTCTGTTGCTTCCAACTGATACATCCCCAGCTTAGAGGGAAAATTCTTGTTGTTAGTCCCTAAGTGCATGACCACTTTGCACTATTAAGTTTCATCCTATTTCTATTACCTACCGTTTGTACCAAGCTTCAGCCTCTTTGTTCTGCCCCAGAGAGCGGTAGAGCCTGCCCAGGTTCACCATGGCCACGTAATGGTTTGGGCTGAGCCAGATGGCCTGCTGGTAGTGGGACACTGCTCTCTCAGGAGCCCCTGCAAAGCAAAAGGCTGTTAGGCTGGTGCCTTATGGAAGTCTCAAAAGTTTCAGCACTAAATCAGAATTCTGATTCTTTAGAATCATCATCATCAGTTGCAAAATACTCCTTTCATCAGTCTTCAGTGTACTTGGAAGGTGGGAACCATCATGAGAGAGAAATCCTGTCTCATCTCTTCTTGAAATTATGCACAAAGGGAAATTGCCATTCAAATAAAAGAGTAAGGGAAAAATGAGATTTAGGAGTTAACTTTAGGCACAAATTTAGCCAGCTTTAAAAGACAGAGGCTGCAAACAAATGTAGACAGGACAAACAGCTCCAGTTTTAAAATGAATTTGGCTACTGAGGGAAATAATTTTTTTCTGATAGAACGTGGGAGCAGCAAGTGGCTACTGGGTTACAAGCAGCAGTTGAAAGGACAGTTAGGCTCATAGGATGGGAACAGAGAGAAGTCGTCTCTCAAATCCAGGTAATCTGGAAAAAGAAAAATAGTAACTAAAAACTAATTTGACAATAAATATAGTCAAAACTTAGAGAAAGGGTATTTCAATCCTTCCCCTAAAGTGTTATCGCTTCTTTCCACTCAGAATTACTGTTGTGATGGCTACATGGGACAAACACACATTTTTAATATTTGGCAAAAAAGATTCAAATCCAGCAGCCATACACAAATAACAATAACCTACCCTGCAGTTTGCAACAACGGTAGGCTACTGATTCCCTTTTGGGTGGCTGAGGGCACGCACAGCCTTTGCACTCAGGACTCAAAAGGCACCTGAGGCAGACTCCAACAGATTAGTGATCTGCTGCAGTTATTTCCAGGGTTTAGAATGTATTGGTAGAAAATGCTTGTTTTGTAGAATATCATCAAGATGTCTATGTTTCAGAGGAACCATTGGGTGGCACTGTGTCACTGTATTTTACCTATCTACACACGAAATAACAAATGCGATTCTGAAATCCACTAGATCAAACACAAATACAAAACAAAATATTGTGCAAGTTACTTGAAAAACTATAATCATTCTTCTGTGCCTTATGTTTAAAAAAAAATGCTGAAGTTCATTTTGTGCTGAAGAAAGGTGCCAGATTGCTAGTCCTTGGGAGTGAATTTGTATTTATAATAATTTTATGTCTAGCCTTTCATACTGAAGGATCTCACCATACTTTATGTACATACACACTGCATATTAACTACAAAATAAGCATAGGCATAGTTGAAATCACCAACATCCCAGCAATGCAAATATGAAAACTTCAGTAGATGTTAACTCAGCTATGTTGCATATCTTGGGCCAGATTCTCAGCTAGTGTAAATCACCGTAGAGGGAACTATGTCTATTTGCAGCTGCTGAAGCTCTGTCCCCTCACATGTTTTATGACAAACCATTTCACAATGAACAGCACTATATTAAACTGCATTTTTAGCCAGAAAAAAAAAACAGGAATCAAAAACAGTACACATGAGCAACAGGGCTAGAACCTAAACTTAGTCACAAAAAGGTAGGGAATACCTATCTGTACCACATAAAACTTAGAACAGAAAAAAATGTTAATGTATTTCCTTGAATTTTTAAAGGAAAGCAAGAGAGAAATCCATAGTGAGAATCATAAGCACTTAAAATACTTGAAAGCCAGAAGAGGACATAGCCCTTCAGGATAGAATATTCAGTGATGGCCTAGCTCTGCCCCCATTGATGAGCAGATGACCATCTTCAAAGTGCCTTAATATTTACAGTGGCATAAGTACTTAAGCCACAGCTAGTGAGAGAACTTAAGTCTTTAAGGCCAATTAATGCCTACATATTAGGTGCACATTTAATAGGTACACACTTACACAGGAGGGAGGAGTGCATCTCATTATCGGTGTCCCCACTGAGGGCTTGTCTTCACTGCAGAGATAATGTGAGTTTTAACTTTACTGTTGTCCCTAACTTGAGCCCTACCCACACACAAAAACCTGTAGTTTAAGGCCAGTGGTGCTTCTAATTTGAATTGGCTGGCCCGAGAAGGAGAATTCAAATTAACGCATCTCATCAGCTGCTAATCCAATCACTCTACGCAGCTCGCATGTTATTTGCAGCCTGGCTACTCTCACTCAAGGTAGGGTATTTGGAGAGGAGTAAACGTGAGGGTAGATTGCTCAAATTAACTCTCAGTGAGGACACAACCTGTGACTTAACAGAATTTTCCATTGCATAAGTGCAGTAGCCATTTTTCAAACATTCATAACTTTATTGTCCAGTTGTCTTCAGACTTGGTCATATCCTCAACAGAATGATTTACATTTCAAGTTTCAAAATTCAGCCCTTTTTTTTAAGGTAGGTAGGTAGGTGTGTGTGTGTGTACAGAACAGGGACAAGTTACCCTTTCCCCTTGCAGAATGAACAAGTGCAAAGAGAAATGGATTTATGCTAAATTGAAATGGAACCTCAAGGATGGAATAGGGCATTTTAGCAGCTTCACACAACAGTTTAGGACTGGAAGGGAAGTTTGAACTTTGCCAAGACACAAGAGTAAAATCTCTACTTCTGCACCTAAAACCCTGATTTCTTTCATGGCCCCACATACTCAGCACTTTTGTTTTCTACTGGCAGCAGCACAGTGCCCACTAACATCAGACAAGAGTGAGGAGTCAGTACTAACTCAGAGGGAAGAATGCCAGAATCACGAACACCACTTCTTGCCAGATCCTGGCTTTCCAAGGACTCCCTTCCAAGTATTAACTGAGTCTGCCCCTCTTTAACTTTGAGTTGTGAAAACAGCATAGCCTGAAGCACAGAATGGGTATCGGCTATGCCAGCTTAGTCTGCAGCACTTCATCAATGTCTCAAGCCGGTTCTGCAGGGACCACCTCTAGTAGCGAGAGGGTAGTTTAGTCTCTGTGTCTGTCTAAACTTGGCCTTGCTTCTAAAACTGTCAATAAAAGATCCAGTTGGGGTGGTGATTTTTATTATGTGGATGCCAGGAACTGCCTGGGGCCATGGAAGCTGGATTTGAACCAATAGCATAGAAGTGAAAGGCTCTGTATCCCATTACCAATCCGCTGAGAAATCCATTCTCCCCACAAGAGTTGTAAGTTTTTGTTTTGCCAAATGATTGTAGTTTCAAAGCTTTGTTTATTTTACAGCAGTGGCATTCAGCTTCTCATAGAGCAACTTTGTCACTGAGCAGAGTCACAAACAGCCATGAAAGTGACATGGGTGTGTCTGTCTGTCTCTCTTTGGCTTTGAGTGGTCATGCGTTCTTGGGGAAATTATCACACGGTTGTCAGGCCACTGTGTGATGCATTGCTCATCCTTGAGAATATAGCTGCAGGCACTGGTATGGTGAGACAAATGTGGCAGGAAACACACTGAGAAGCACTGCTGTACAGTGTTAGCATTTGTTACAAATCTCTTCAAACCGCAGCACTGTGGTCAGTCTCAAGAGAGCAGGGACAGTCTGTATTTATTTATTTGGAGTTTTATAAACTACAGTGTAAGTGTGTCCATCCTCTGCTCTGGGAGCCCTTGACAATCTTTAAAAAATACCCTACTAAATAAACCAGACCCACTCAACACAGCAAATAAGCCAGCAACATAAATCTGCCAGCTCCATCTCACTTACCAGTATCAACTAAGAAAACACCATAGTTATTATGCAGATCAGAGCTCTCTGGACAATTCTCTATCCCAGCCTGATAAACCTCCTGGGCTTCTTTAAATTGTTCCTTAAACAAACAAAGATTTGTTATTAGTGGTAATACCAGCTTTGTTACTGCATACAGATATTTCATGGAAATGCCTTGTTATCATCACACAGAACTTCAACAGTCCATGTCATTTCATCTCAGTATTCAGGGAGCTGTGCACATAGGGTGAACTCTTGTCCCCTATTAAAGGCAATGGGAGTTATTCCATTGACTTCAGTGGGGCTAGGATTTCACCCACAGAGTCAATGTTTCCCAACTGTTACCTCACAGGGGTACTAGCAATTACCTCCACTTCCCCATACAGTCACAACAGGAGGTAGTTGTGGTAAATGTTGCCAAAAATCAATTATTCACTCAGTTCCAGTCCTGAATGGTTTCCTGGTGTCAGGGCATGCACAAAGGGGCGGGCGGGGGGGAACCAGGGGCACTGCCCCCATGTGTTCCTGCAGCCCCGGGGAGGGAGGAAGCAACCGGGCAGCTGGCTGCCAGCGGAGCTCCTCCTCCCCCGACAGCTACAGCTTCTCCTTCCCTGCTGTTGGGAGTCCCAGGTGTTGCCTCTGCCTCCAGCCCCTGACTCACCTCACCTGCAAAGCAGGCAGTAGCGCTGGGACTCCAGCAGTAGGGAAGGAGAAGCCGCAGGCTGCAGCTATAGGGTGGGGGAAGGACCCTGCAGCCAGCCACCCTGCTGCTTCCTCCCTTCCCTGGGCTGCAGGGACATGGAGAGGGCAGCTGCTGGGGGAGTTGTTGCCTCCTTGCTGCTGGGTGTCCCCGCCAGAGGTCTCCAGAGAAATGGGGGCGGGGCACATGAAACTTTCATTTGTGTGTGTTTAACGTGCCCCTCCAAAAGTATTCAAATTGAAATCCCTGCAGTGCCTGGTGTGGATTGTTGAATAAAATGGGGTCTAAGGCAGTGATACTCCGACCTCAGTGGTTCAGGAGACAAATTAGCGATCAATATTACCCCAAAGAGCCACAATAGTATGAATTAATTTACTACAGTACAATTCATATTTCAACAGCAGGACAGGGGAAATATTTAGTTTTTGTACATAGATAGAATTCTCACAGCAAATAAGTGAATAACTTAGTGCAAGTTGATAACTTAATTGGTTAATAACATAGTAAAAGCATCCTGGTTGGTTAATAACTTAGACTGGTTAATAATTAAATCACACACTGTTTTAATATCATGTGCTGCAAAGAGCCACAGGAGACACATTAAAGAGCCATTTGCGGCTCGTGAGTCGCAGTCTGAGTATCACTGGTCTAAGGCATGGTCTATCCCTCAAATTTAGGTTGCTGTAGCTACATTGCTCAGGGCTGTGAAACAATTCACACCCTGTGTGATGTAGTGAGGTCGACCTAACCTCCACTGTAGATGCAGCTAGATCGATGGAAGAATTTTTCCATCGACCTAGCTACTGCCTCTAGGAGAGTCAGACTACCTACATCAACTGAAAAACCCCTTCCATCGACGCAGGAAGTGTCTGCACTATAGTGGCACAACTAGAGCACCGTAGCTGCGCTGCTGCAGCCTCTGTATTGTAGGTAGACACACCCTAAGGCTGCTCTATGTCATTGTTGAATATATGCTGCTATTCCGTCTGCACACCCCTGTAACTACATTACCAATATCAAATGACCTGAAGGAGCATTTGCAGCTCCCCATAGATTTCAATGGGATCTGTGGGTAGGTATTCAGCATTTCTGGAAAATCAGGCTATAACTCTGTTTTGTAATGCACCTGGCGACATCCTGTATACGAAAGGCACTCTATTGCCCACATTCTAGCTAGTGTGAATTTCATGAGTATGCAGCCAGACACTATGAGGGGAATAGGGTCTTTAATTCTGATCGAACAGCAATTATAAGGTTTTCCACTTCCCACAGCAGTCCAGCTGGCATGAGAAAACTACCTGCTTGCTCATACATAAGAGTGTTAAAGAATTACTGTTTTTTCTCTCCCCTCTCAGTTCATACATTTGCTGTGGGTGATATTATTTAATGCTTGTGAAAGGGAGGTATTTTAATGGTGAGAGCCAAACATGGTGCAGGCAGATGCTGTGCAAATTTCTACCACCCAGCTCTGTTGCTGTTCCTGCACCTTAATGATCTGGAACAACACTGCAATGACAGACCACGGCCTTTTCCTGAGACTCCCAAATGAGATCAGCTGTTTGATAATCTTGTGAGACCACCAAGAGGGATTTTCACAACCAGGATTTGAATCCAAGTTTAAAATAGCAAAAGGCTATTAACCCACTGCACCACTTTAGTCCCAATTATATATATATATATATATATATATATATTGCAAATAACTGATTATGCTTTGTTACAAGGATCTTTAAACCAAGATACTCATAAGTGACCAGCCATTTTGGGTGCCCCAGTTGATACACTCTAAAAGAGGCCTCATTTTGGGTGCTCAGGACTTTTCAAAATGAGGCCGCTGTAGGGTGCCAAGCTGGGCACTGAAAAATGTTGGCTGTAGTATCTTCTTACAGAGGAATTTCCTAATACCTGGAGTGGACCAGAATGGTTTTGCTTCTTAACACGGATTCAAATTCTGCTCTCAGTCATTACACCAGTGAATCCCAGAGCTTATTCACTGGACTTACTCTGGATCTAGAGTGGTGTAACTGAGAGTAGAATATGGCCCATCAATTTTTTTTAAATGCACCAGCTCTCCTCTTCATATTCATTTAAGAAATGGGAAGCTGAAATTCATGGCATTTGAAAAAATATGACTTGAAAGCAAATGACTGTCATGGTTAAGTGCTTTCACATTTACATGATAAAGGTCAGCCAGCAGAAAAGATAGGGTGTGATAACACACAAACACTCTTAAAAATGTTCAGTTTGGACAGTTTGCATATCCCTATATGGAATTACCACCCCCTTGTATTCTACCAGGGAAAATAAGGAGCACAGTTAGCATCATGAATTCTTAACTAAAACAAAGGGCAACTTTTGGAGAAAATCCTGTGTCAGGGCTTGCCTACCCTTAAAATGCTACAGCAGCACAGCTGCACTGCTGCAGTGCTTCATAGAATCATAGAAGATTAGGGTTGGAAGAGACCTCAGGAGGCAGGGCCGGCTCCAGGCACCAAGCACCCAAGCTGGTGCTTGGGGCGGCACCTGGAGGGGGGCGGCGGCGCGGCGCTCTGGCCGCGGGGCGGGGGGGAGAGCCGAGCCCCAGCCGGGGCTCGCCGCCCTCCCCCCAGGGCTCCGGCCGCCCTGCCCCCGGCGCTCTGGCCGCCGCGGGGGAGAGCCGAGTCCCCCCCGGCGCTCTGGCCGCCCTCCCTCCGGCCGCCGGGGGGAGAGCGGCGAGCCCC